TATGAGCTTTGGTTATTTAACCGTATTTTGAATTTATGTTATTTATTTATGTTTAGAACACATGTTAAAATGTATTAGATGTTTGTGTTGGAAGTTTTTAAATTTAAGAGTATCAACTTGTATTGGTCAAGTCAGTGAACCAATATTATAACTCAACAGTGAAAGAGTTTGGAAGAAAAAAAAATTTGATAACTCCACACTATTTATATTAGAAAAAATATTATCCCTATGTTATAAATATTTTCAACATTAATCGAATTATACACAGAGGATTTAGTCCCACCAAAAAGACCAATTAATTTAGTATAATGAGTAATTGAAAGATACACCTATATGAATTTTTTTTTCATATAAAAAATTATAATTATATGATTCGTATAATATATTTTTTGTACAACATATTTTATAACATCAATTTTCTGTTTGTATTTTCTATAAAACATTTTTTAGCATTATTTTTGTAACGTCAACTTATTTTACATTTACATTTTTTGGTTATAAAAATTAAATAAATATATAATATAAATATAATTTCTCATAATCCAATCAGATTCGATAGAGAGTAAACGAAAGTTAACATAAAAATACAGTATCAGGTGTTTACTATTCAATGTGTTGATTAATTAGCGTGGAGTTATTTTAATTTAATTTATGATTTTAAATTTGAATATTTAAAAATTAATTATAGTAAATAGTTTAAATATATAAAACTTATTTCAATGTAATTTTTAATTAGAAGAAGAGCCTTGTTGATTAGTTTTTCAATATATTAATTAAAAACATTAAACCCTAAAATGTTAGCTATAAATATACTAATATTATATGTAATAGTTTTTTGTTTTAAATTCATTTGCCTAAAATGATACCAGGGACACGCATCTAGGCACATGAAAAATTTGGAAATTTCCGTGACTGGCATCGTGATTCTTGATAATTTCGTTGGAAACATGAAAATTGGAAACCCCAGTAATATACGATGGACAAATTTTTTGTACCGTTGTTCAAGTGTTTATCTTGTTTATATTAATTTTAATAATATTAAATATAATGTTAATCAAACTAAAATTTTAATTTTTAATCAATAAATAATATTTAAAAAAAAAAAAACTGAAACAACACCGTAGTTTTATCTAATACGATCCACTGGTAGATAAAGCAAACAGGTAAATAAATTGAGGTTGGGAATCATGGCGGCCCATAGCCGCCCGCATATCATTTTCCAGCACCGTGTCACGTGGCACCTCAACACGCAACCTTCTCATAGTGGGTCCCACCGCATCGCCAACTCTGGCGGCGAAACTTCCCGCGCTGCACCCTGCGCTTCAAGTCATCGTCACTCACCCACCCTCGCGCGTGTTCACGTAAATCAGCTAATAATAAAATTTAAAATTTTCAATTTTGACCCTAATCAATTCAGAATGGGAAACTTGTCTTCTTATCAAAAGTTTAATAAAATAAATAAAATAAAATAAAATGTGCTTTAAAGGTGCAAAGAAAATGAAAATGGCAATAAATGAAGAGATGCATGCGTGTCAAAAGGAAAGAGGAAGGAACGAAAGGAGAAAAGGAAGCGATATCCTCTCCACAGATTCCGCTGACGCACGCAGAGGGTCCTACCGAAAGCGGAAGCTAACTCCACTCCTTTCAAAACTTGCTTGCTTCTGTTCCCTACTCACTCCTTCTGTTCACTCATTTTATCTTCCATCTCACTCTTCTTCCTCCCTCTTTCCATTCAAGTACTTTGAAGCAACTAATTCAATTTATTATTTTCTAGGCGCTACATCTCAATTATAATTTTTATTTTATTTTAATATTATCATAATGAAAAGAAACTAATGAACGGGGAGGGGGAGAGAGAGAGAGAGAGAGAGAGAACAGGAGCAGTTAGTTATGTGGACGGCAAAAGAGGTACACGTGCCGTCCAAAGTGAACCCATGAGCATAGCCGTCAACACGGAGCGCTTTCCGTGGGACCCAACCACGATACTCCAAAATCTGGTGATTTCTTTGCCGTCGGTGCACCAACACCAACACTAACACTGTTACCTCATTAATTAATCTAATCAATTTTCCTCATGCTACCAACACCACCAAAATAATCACATATCTTCAATCTCAATCACGCTGCTTATCAATTTTCCCAGCTAATCCGCATTTATGTTGCTGTCACCATTTAATAACTTTTTTACATTTCCAAATGTTTATTGTTTTTCTATTATTTTATCCATTTTATTAATACATTTTTAACTCTTATTAATAAAATTTTAAAACTACTTCTTTAAAATAACAACATCAACCGTGATGGTGATCCTAAAATTTTAGATTAGCATCAGCTTTTGTAAACGCAAAATCGATGCAAATGTATCGAAATTAATTTGACGCAAATGGACCTAAAATTTATTTATGTTTAATAAAATTGTTTCAGCAAAATATAAGTTAGTGTTATCTTAATCAATGTGCATTCCAATAATTAATTTTTTAAAATTCTAAACTAAACCAATGGTTATTAGCATCGGTTAAGATTGACATTAACACTAAGGTTGAGTATAGTTTCGGCCAAGCTAATATATATTTTTTTGTCTATAATAAAACTAACCCTGTCACTTTTTTAAATTTAGCATCAGTTTGATACCATTTTTTTAAACTTGGTGCTGGTTACATCAGTTTGTTCGTCTCTACCATCTTTTTTAAAATTTAGTGTCGGAGAAATTGTTACTTTTTTTTTTCCACAATAAATTCGACAGCGCCTAAATAATTAGTTTAAATGGCACATAACCATAGCTAGATCAAGGCTACCATTTTTTAAAATTTAGAGTTAGTGTAGTAGACACTTATTATTCCCCATAATCAATTTGTTAGTACTTAAATAAATAGTTTGAGTGAAACATAATGTTAATTTGTTGAATGCTATATTTTTTAAACTGTAGCATTTTACGCAGACTTCTTGTACTTATACTACATATGAATATACTATTATTAATTAATTACCAATGCTAATTGTTATTTTTATGTTTACGTCTTCTTTCTCGACTCATTTTTTCTTCTCTCGCCTAATTCTATAATTTTTTTTTTGTTATTTTTTTTCTTTCTTATTTCATTGGTTTCTCTCTCATTATCTTTTTCTCATTGTATTTTTGTTGTTCTCAGTGTCATTGTATATTGTTTATAATCTTATAATTTGAAGTATAAATGAGTTAAGAGTTTTTGAAGGTGATTAGGGAGATAATAATGAAAAGAGCTAAAGAGAGTAAAGAAGGCGTTGCACTTAATTAGGGTTACGAATGATGGAAGATTTGAAGTTTGATGTCATTTTAGAATTGATTAGATTCACTATAATCAAATGATTATTGAGCATTATTTCTATAGTAAAATCTGTTGTACCTTTACCGTCGAGAAGGTTTAATTTTACCTGTTACACATAAAATAATTGTTATTGTTGATTTTATAATAATAGATACTAAGTTTAGTAGTTTAGTTCAAATAATGTTAATACTTTGTAATCTTAAAGATATTAAAATAATCACAACCGTTAATAAAAGAAATAATCTAAAAAATATTAGAGTAATCATAACAATTAATCTAAAAATGGTATATAATATTTTCTCAATCTTAGCTAAACACTTATTACAATTTTTATTTATCTATTTATAACAATGCAACGGTAAAATACTCACACATAATCACGAAACAATCCATTAATAAAATATTATTACAACTTAATATTTAATTTTGAGTTTGAATATTTAAAAAGTATAATTATATTAAATACTTGAAAAGATTAAATCTAAATCCTACTCAATTCGAGTATGAATGTTTGATGTGTTATAAAAAAAAATCTGAAAAATAATTTTAATCAAATTTATTTAAATAAAATCACTATGTTAAAGACATTTTTTGTTAAACTTTTATTTAAAATCAAAATTCTAAATCACGTAGTAAGTTTCAATCCGAAGAATTGATCTTGCAGTTATATCCATAGGAACTACCCCAATAATGAAAAATAAAAAAAGATGGCCGTTTTTCAACCAGAGTACGGTGAGGCTTATGGGTATCATTAGGATGATTCTAGAAACCTATGATAAATTGTCAAAGTAAAACTGCCTGAAACATATTATGGCACTCCACTTATCGAACAAAGTGAATCATGATTAAGGGGCTGCTATGTTTTCAATTATTAGAAAATGAAAGTCTCGTATGGTCGCTTGAGATCATTATTAGCAGCATGCTTGGATTTTCTTGAATAGTTTACACAGATCAAATTTCGTTGGTAGTGGGCAATCCATATTTAATTATTTAATAATCACAATTAATTATGTTTATACACGGCATCAACTCTTATTGAAAATTAAAACCAGTCAGATCTTGAGTTGTAAACCATATTCAAAGCATAGTATATGATTTTAAAGCTATGCTGTCTCTTGTGTTTTATTATTTAATTTATGATCATTGTTGGTAACAAATACGAGAATGACCGTAATTTAATAACGCGTGATTTTTTAACATAAAAAACAGTAAGAAGGAAATAACACTTTCAACCAGACAAAACACTATTAGCATGTAAAAAGGCCAATCTAAATATTCAGGAAATTTCTACTAAACAAGAGTGTCAGGAAATTTCTCTAAAATGGTATGCCTTACCAACCAAACACAATTTTAGATTACTTCAGATAAATTCGAACTTGAATCCACGTGAGTTTGTTTAAGATCCTCCACCATTCTGTCGCCAAGTTTAATTTTTCAAATCTGAATTTGTAAGCCATATTCACACATGCCAATGTTGCATTCCAAAGCTGTGATGGTTCATATATTTCAATAGTTGTAGAAACACCCATAGTTTAACCTCAAACTTACACATCACACAAATTAAAAGACAAATTATTGTGTACACCAACCCAAGTTTTAAGTTGCGATTTACCCCGGAAAAACCAAATATTGGGTACATAACCCACAGTGGTGATTATTATTTTACATCAAAACAATAAAATAAAAAAGGAATTAGACAAGTGGATAGCAGAAATTTATATTAAAAGAAAATCATCATTAGCCAGAATTACATATCAGAGGTTACAGAAAATTATAACAGAGCTAAACAATTTCAGATCATGTTCTTTTGTCAATGGCAAAGAACTAAAAGAGCAGGAAATTAACTTATTTACATCAAAGGAAGTACTAATTAGCATCTAATCTAACCTGGAAATAACAGAAGATTAATCTTCCCAATATAAAAAATAAAGAAAGAAAACTTCTTCTTATCTTAGTCCTTTCTGCTGTCTACTTTTTTCTAAGCACGGTGTGAAGAATTTAAAAAATTAAAAAAGGGTTAAAAAATTAAGCATCCATGGGTGGAGCTAGGTTAAGATCAAGATTGAGTTCTCTTTTGGGTTGACAATCAACAACGGAGGACGAATCGGAATCGCTCTGAACCGCGCCGTTGAACTCGATCGGACCCGGTTCGAACCGGACAGGGAAGCGCTGAGCCAGAAACTCGGTCCGACCGGTCTGATCAAGAAAGAAAACCGGGCGAAGCGGAACGGGGTCGGCGCCGTGGAAAGCAAGGAGCTGGGGCTGGAGAGGGAGGAAGGGGAAGCGGTCCATGACGGCGGCGGCAAGTTCGCGAGGGCGCGTGGGTTCACGCTCCGGGGTGGCTGAGTCGACGGTGCTGCTCTGGCTGGGGCTGTCGCGGATAACGGTGTTGTTGTTGTTGCTGGAGGGGTGAGAATTAGAGGGGAAGTTGGTCTTGGCTTTGGGGCCGCGAAACTGGCGCGCGGCGGTGTCGTAGGCTTTGGCGGCTTCTTCGGCTGTGTCGAAGGTGCCGAGCCAGACGCGGCTCTTCTTAGTAGGGTCTCTTATTTCGGCGGCGTAGCGGCCCCATGGTCTCTTGCGCACCCCTCTGTAGTGAACTTCGTTGGCATTGTTGGGTTTCTTGTTCTTCACGGTTGGGTTCTTCTCCTTAGCCACCATGGCGAAAGAAATGTACTACTAACGATGAGAGCGAAAGGAGTTACGGGTGTTTGCGTAGTGGTGTGTCTTTTGATATGTGGGGTGGGGTATATATATATTATACGGTGCCGGTTTGGGATAGTTTTCATTTTAATTATTATTTTTAAATATATGAGAGAAAGAGGAAGGTGCAGTCAAAGATGTGTGAGTGTGGAGCAGAGACGCCGCCCAAAGGAAAGAGAGAGATAATGCAACGGTGTTGGGGGGTTACGTGGCACGCGGGAATTTCGAGACAAGCGGCGAAGGTGGGCCTTCATGCGTGCCGGCTATTAACCTAATGGGCCGTTTTTTCGGCTCACCTTCTCCTCATCCGCACACGCTTAACCCTTTTCTGGTTAGTACGATTATTTTTTCAATAAATCTTATCATTATATATTTTGATTATCATAACGTGTTATTGTATAATAATATTTTGGAAAATAAAATTAAAGTGTTGGAACGCGCTTTTGCACAAGGGGTGAAAGTTGAAAGCAAAAGCAATGACTGGGTCTAAATGAACTTCTCAACAAGTGTCAGTGTTGAAGGGTACATGGGCCTCTCTCTCCTTATCATAATAATTTAATTTCATTAGAACTAGGAAGTGCTTTTGAATCGTTCTTTGAGACAGTTTGGGGAATGGGGAGTGAACCTGACCACTAGGAACGTGTACACGCGTCACTGTCTTTCTCTTGACGCGTCCTTTGAAACCTCATCATCTTTGTTTTGGTGCCTGCCACCCGCATCCAAAATCGCGTCCCTGTCCCTCTCCCACTCGTTAAATAACGAAACGCCGTCTGCGCTCCCTCACTTCCGTCAAATCGCGTCGCGCGTGCAGATATCGACCTACTTTCATCTGCCGTTTCTGACCACACGATTTGGGAGATGGGACAATCAGACGCGCTCTGCGGGACTTGAAAGCGAGTCGCGAATCGTAATCTTGCTTAAACCAAGAAAACTGCGCTTGAAATAGTGATTAGTGACTTGTGCTTGAAAAGGCAACACGGATTAGGGGAGTGGGTTTTTTCTGGTACATGGATTACGCAATGGTTTAAGGAAGTAACTCTCTTTCTTTCGGTTTTCAAACTTTTCCCACTGTTACCGCTATGGGTAGTTGAAATTTGACATATATACCTAATAAAGCTGCATATTTACACCATAAAAAAAGGTAATAAAGCGTGCCATTTTCCTTTAAAAATACAAGCTGCATATATCATATTTCCTTCTTTTTTTTCAATTTTTTATGTTGATATGTGTGACATAATCAAAGCGTAGGTATATAAAACAATAATGAATGTTGACAGTACAGATACTATACATGAACCTGTTGTCCGATTCTGCAGATTCTGCTTCGAGAGATCTCTTGGAATTTGTAGTTAGAATAACATGTAATTTTTCGGTCACAATCAATATTCCATTATTTTCTAATTTCTACGCTGCAGAAGATTATGTACTTTTCTCTGGCCTTGTTTATGAGCCCAAGGATTTTGTTATCAGTGTAAATATTGTGCTTGGTTTTTACTGTAATCTTCTGTACGTTATGGGATTTTATCATAATACTTCAGCTCTTTGTTACTTTTTTTTTTTTTGTTGAGATTCATTAAATTGTAGGCAGATAACTGTTTATGTGAAAGTTTAAGAAAATGAAAGTCCATGTTCAATTAATTATCTTATGAAATGAAAAAAAAGAGTTATTATACATTTCATGGCTTCATGCACTAAGTGATAAATAGAAAAAACAATTATGTCAACCTTCATTTTTAAGCCTAAATTTAACCATTTTAAAACAATATTTTTTTTTTTATCAAAAAAGTGTTTATTATATTAAAATTATAGAATGAGATAATTTTTTAATACAAATTTATTATTATTAATTGCTTGACTCTCTCATCTGAGAATTGATATTAATATTTTTTTAATATAAAATGTAAGAAATACAATGATCAATGAAATACAATAGAAAAAATTAATAAAAAAATACAGAAGATGTAAAAGGTAAAATTATACAGTTATACTGTTTTTTCTTTGTCTTTTTTGGGTCAAGAGTGTATTGTGCGAATGTAATGTAAACAAGAGAAGATAGAAGCTAATTTTGAGGCCCATTAAAACCAGTCTAATGTTTGTGGAAGAGCAATGCAGATTTGGGCCTTTCAAATGCTATGCATCCATCCTTATTGGATTTTAACATTTTGGATCTAAAGTGAACCAACTATTGCGAAGGTTCGCATTATGCCCACATCAAAATAAGAGTCAACTTTGACCCAATAAATAAATAAAAATTTTGGAAAAAGATAGACTTTAACTCTTGCTGCATTAACTACTAAAAGAACAAAACAGTTAATTTTAACTTAGCAGGACACTACATTAATTTGTAAAAGAAAAACAAATACTACTGCATTTGAAGAAGATTATTTCTATCATGTGATGTAATAAGATTTTATTAAAAATTAAATTAGTAAAAGTTTTTCTAACATGTCAAAATGAAGTACATGAAAATAAATTATAAAATTCAATATATTGTATTTAATTTCTTAAAATTTGTAATTTATTATGAATAAGTTCTTATTGACAAAACTCAAACTATTCCAATTACCTTCAATGAAAATGCAGGAGGAGCTCCATGATAACTTGGTGATGTGTGTGACCTTATGATGAACTCCACTAACACAAAAGTGTGAAACAGCAACTTAAAGAAGAGAACCATTCTTAACTTTATTTAGCAAATTAACCGTTAAAGGTGGCGGTCCCACGTCACCGCTAGATTTGAAAAAAGCGACAACAATACAAAACGACGTGTTTCTCCAACGGCTAACATGTCTCTGTCTGCAACACTCTTCATTCAATAAACCACACTGAACTGAACTCAACTCAACTCCAACCTAACATCAACATAACTTCACCACTCTCAGAGACTCTCTATTCACACTCACATCGATGATGGATTGTTTCTCTTCCCCTTATCTTCATCACCGCCACAACAGGTCACGAGCCAAGTCGTCTTCTTCTTCTCGGCTGACACGTGTCGGTGAAAACGGAACGGTGGAACCCATTCGAATGTCGCTGGATTTGGTTCCTTCACCCAGCGTGCCTGCAAAGCCTTCGTCCCCTTCTCCACTCTCTCTTCTGCGATCTCCCACAAACTCTCTTCCTGTCAGAGATTTTCTTCTTCTGTCTCCTTCTTCCGTGAGGAGGTCTCACTCCAAGGCTCGCTTCGACGAGGAGGTGGCGGAGGGCGGCGGAGTGCGGCGGCGGTGCAAGAGCAGAGCAGCGGCGTCGCCGAGGAGTTTGCGGAGGTGGAGGCGGGAAGAGAAGGAGGCGGAGGAAAGTGTAAAACAACAGAGGAAGAGGAGACAAAGTGGAAGAGCGAAGAAGGAAAAACTCAGCTTGGTCCCTTTTCTACCACCTTCAATTTCATCTCCAAGTATGTTTTCTCTTCTATTCATTTTTTTATTTCTGAAAGTAAAGTAGCTAGTTTTGCAATATTCTCATTTTTAATCTTTATTTTTACTTAATGTTATTTACGAATTTCAATCCTTTTATGTTATTAATATGATATAATATTTTCTACTAATTCTGGTTTTAATAAAATAAAAAATAATAATTAGTGAAAATTTTCTAAAATGAATAACATTGGGCGTCCTTTGTAAGAATTAATTTAGCTAATTTTATGATCCTTAAAAACTAAAATGAGATTTTTGAGTTTTGATTAGACTAATAGATAAATTTCTGGGAGTAGATTTGGAGGTTTACTCTCATTTGTTGTCTATTTATTTTGGTTTCATTCAATTTTACTTTGAAGCAAAGAATAAATTGGTGTGTTACTTTGGTGTTCAGAAGTTGAAGAAGAGAATGGAGGTGATCTAGATCGTGTTGGGGCGTTGCTCACTGATTTGATAATGTGGAGAGATGTTTCAAAATCGACCCTTTGGTTTGGTTTTGGCTCTCTTTGTTTCTTGTCTTCTTGCTTCACTAAAGGACTCAACTTCAGGTCTCTCTCTTTGTGCTTCTCTTTGTGTTGTTGTATGCGGCTCTCCCTTCTGCACAGTAGTACAAGAGTCTGAGATATTCTAGTTCTTCTTATTTCAGCATTTTCTCCGCCATATCAAGATTGGCAATTCTCTTGTTGGGTGTTTCATTCTTCTCAAATTCAGTTTGTCAAAGGTTACACAAATTTACTTTGTCAAAATGTTATTTTTTCTTCTATGCTGTCCTAGTTTTGGATTTGAATGAATGTACTTAAGGATTTGCATTTGTGTGTATTCAGAAACCAGGTTGAGAAAGGGGGTTATGCCAAACTGAAAGAAGATGACATTTTACGTCTTGCAAAATTGATTCTTCCTGCTTTGAATTTTGCATTTTCAAGGACTAGAGAGCTGTTCTCAGGAGAACCGTGCATGACCCTCAAAGTAATCCCTGCTACCAAAATTGTTGGTTTTTTAACGAGTGTAAAATTTTTTTAGTGTTGGTTTACACCATCAGCTTTTCCATCTTCTCTTTTTTGGTTGCAGGTAGCTCCTTTCCTTCTACTAGGAGCGGAGTATGGCCATCTTATTACAATTTGGAGGCTCTGTGCCATTGGTGAGGACATCATTTTTAGTTAGCATTATCATTTTTTTAAGAGTTAATTATAATACAATGTCATCAACTAATTAATAATTAATTCTAAATATGACTTTTAAAGTAATAATTATAAAAGTCAACAATTTTTAATTATATGACAATCTATTATTGAAATTATACTGTCAGTGTATTGCAATTATTATTTTATAATTATATTTTAGTTCTAATAGTACATTTCTTGCCAACTTGCTAAATATATATATGAGCAGGATTTTTTGTCAGCTTCAGTGCACCAAAGCTTTATTCTTGTTACTCTGCACAGATAAACCAGCGAGGTATAATTCCACCCTCTTTATCACATTTGTAGGACTATCCACCTTTTTATACTAAAATAAGGTTTTATTATGTAGTTGAGTGCTTGAAATTGCGGTTGTTGGACACATGGGGCGCTTGCACTCACAAGAAGATTGTGGTCGCATCGGTTCTTATTACCTTCTGGAATCTATCTACTATAAAGACTAGAATCTTTACAGGTAATTCTCTAGCAAGCCACTTGTTTAAGTAATTTTCACACAAGTTCAGACCATGATATACTATTTAAGCATCAACAGTATCCAAGATTATAAGTATTCATCTCATCTAGCTTGGAATATAAAACAATGTTTTACATTATGAGAGATTTTTGTACACATTTCCTCGGTAGCATGTGATTGTAGCATGTGCATTTGTCAACAGTGTGACTGAGAGTATATTCTTATGATTTAATTTTGTTTTGCAGCGTTTATATTGCTTGTAATACTCAGATATTTTCGGCAAAATGTCATGCAACAAGTAGAAGATGGAGAAGCACAAGTGGCAGAGAAGGAACAGCTGCAAGCAATGGTGGTGGCAGAAGATGAGGAAGAGGAACCACAGCAGGCATTAGTAGTTGCTGAACAACAGCGCCAATGCTAGTATCTTGCACCACCTCACATATGGGACATTTCTTTGTAGTTATAGCTTAAAAATAAAATTCTTTCATAGTCAGCCAGTGTTTAATATTTGTTAAAGGTCTATATAATCATAAGGCATTCTATAGTCATAGGTGAGAGCCTGTTGCCCAAATGTATTCTTTCATTTCTGGACCCTTAGCACGACTATATGTATCTTGCACACCTGTACACGGCGCATTTCTTTGTAGTAGCTAGGTGAAAAATAAAAAATGCTGTTTCATTGCACAAATTGATTGAAGTTAGTGCACAAATGAACGCATTAATTCATGTACATGTACTAATTTGAGTAAACTAAGATAATTCGACAGTGAGAAACTTCTTACCCTACACCTCTATAGGCGAGGCATTTCTTCATAGTCAGCCCATGTTCAATATTTGAACAAATTTATTAAACTGTGATTCTCTGAAATATTCAACAGTGAGAAGCTTCAAGTTTGCTTCACGACCACTCCTTTCCTGGCAATTTGTATCAATGACGATATAGCAATTGGATCAATGTTTGCATGAAGGCTGTAAGGATATGCCCCTCTACTTTTTTTTCTTGGGCTTCAGAGATTTTCTTTTATTTCCTCTTCAGTGTATTAGTTGTGTCCCACACCACACCTTAAGATCTGCCTCTCATGAAGTTGGAGTTTTACCTGTATTGAACAGAGCACAAGCTGAAAAAAGAAGGAAAAAAAAATTATGTCTAGTGAACCACACTGTATGCTGGAATTTTCTGAATTCCAGCATCCATTATTTCTTTCCTCAGATCAGCAGCATGATCCCATCTTTCTTTCTCAGCATTCATGCTTGACAATAAAACATACTGGCCACAGTGTTGTGTCTGCAGTTTAAGCACCTTCTTTCCAATTTCTTCTCCGAGTTCAGCAGCTCCATGAATCCTACAAGCACCCAAAAAGGCTCTCAAAACAGTTGCATCGGGCTCAAAAGGCATGTTTCTTATGATGTCAGCTGCTTCCTGGATATACCCGGCTCTACCCAAAAGATCAATCACACAGCCATAGTGCTTCATTATCGGCACTACTTGAAAGTCATGCAACATTGATCGAAACAACTCCAACCCTTCCATAACAAACTTTGCTCGAGAACATGCTGTAAGAACTGCCACAAAAGTAATGCCATTTGGTTGCAACCCTTGAAGCTTCATCTCCTCAAACATGTCCAAAGCCTCCTTCTCTCTACCATTTGAAGCCAGTGAAGAAATTATTGCATTCCAAGTGCATACTTCCCTTGAAACCATTACTCTGAATACATTCTCAGCATAATTCAAACACCCCATCTTCCCATAAAGATTTATCAATGAAGTTCCCACAAAAACCCCCAACTTGACCTCATTCATCACCACATATCCTTGAACTTGCTTTCCACAATCAAGAGCCGCTTTACCATCCAAACTGGCACAAGAAGATAACACACAAACACAAGTAGCCTCATTAGGCTTCACAACACCGTCCATCACATCCTTATGACTCATCATCTTCCCAAAAAACCTTATTGCAGCACCAAAATTCCCATTCAAAGCAAAACCATTCACAACAGTTGTCCAAGATACAACATCCCTTTGGGGCATGCCTTCAAGCAATGACACAGCAGCCTCCATGTCCCCATTCATGGAAAAAGCATTAAGCATTGCATTGCATGCAACAATGCAAAACATGGGAACTTCCTCAAACACTCTGTGTGCATCAGCAAGGCGGTTGTTTCTTGCATAGAGGGCAAGAAGAGTGGAGAGAATGAAGGTGTCAGATAAGAGTCCGCGCTTGAGGGCTTGTGAGTGAAGGGTAGTGCCCAAAGGAAGAGTGGAAGATTTGAGAAGGGAAGGAAAAGTGTGACTATTGGGTGGGGCTTGGTTTGCAAGCATGTGAGAGAAAAGGAGAAGAGCCTTATTATGGTTGTGAATGTGATAGGCTCCGATGAGGGCATTGTAGAGAAGGGTAGGCATCCATTTGTGTTGTGATGATGATGGAGCATTTGAGTGATGAATGAGGTGGCCATTGGTGATTATAAGAGAATGGATTTGCTTCATTTGTTTTGGGAACTTATTGCAACGTTGTGCAAGTTGCAACAAACACTCACCTGGATAACTCATGACACTTAACTCTAAACAGAAAGTTAGAGACCCAATTGAGGAATTGGAGAAAGCTCGTTCCTTTTGGTCTTGAATTGCGTTTAGAAACCAGAAAAATTCAATAATCATTACTTTTGAAAGGGGCTTACTTAGTTACAACGTGAAATTCTGAGAAAAAGGACAACAAAGAAAAGAATAATTGGTGTAGAACCAGTTGAGGAATTGGAGGAAGCTCGTTGCTTTTGGTGTTGAATTGCATTTTAGAACCAGAAAAGTTAGACTTTTTATTATTTTTTTCAATTTAGAACCTAAAAAAGTTGAATATGAAACGGTGCGTTTTCATGTTTTAAGGTCCTATGTCAGTGTCATGCTATAAAAGCGATAAAATCGAGTGTTTTGGTGGTATTATCGGAAAATGGATACGATTGGAAGTGGGCGCTGGGGTTTGTGGAATTGGAATCCCTTGCCGCAGTCTCAACGGCGTCGTTTTCGCTCCAAATCAGGTTCGGCGGGTTCAACTGGCGGAGGCGGTTACCGGTTTCCGGTGAAGCAGGCGGTGACTGCCGCCTCACTCGCCCTTACCGGAGATACAATCGCTCAGCTCAGAGACCGTTGGAAAAAAGCAAAGAGTGGTGACGGCGTCTCTCAGGTAAGTAGAATTAGAATATTTTAACTTGGAGATTGTTGATTCAATGGATAATGGTAGGAGATGGCATTTTCACATTATCAATTAAAATACAGGGGGAAAAAAGTGAATTTTAATTGGGAATTTTATGATTGAAAGATGACATTTCACACTCTTTAGGTTGTTTACACCTTAGGGGAGTTGAGGGGAATAGGAAGGAGAAAGAGAGAGAGAGAGAGAGAAGAATAGATGAGATGAAAAATGAAGAGAGTGATAGACTAAGGTGTAAAATTTTAAAGCATGAAAACTTCTGATACGTTGTTGAAAATTTGAGTTGCTTCTTTGAATTTGAAAGGAATTCTTACATTTTTAGGGCTCTTTTGCTTTTCTTCTAGTTCATTGATTTTTGCCAACTCTACCTCGGGTCTCGTAATTGGTCCTAAGGAGGATTGTTGTGATAGACAATCAACAATACATGTAAAATAACTAAAATTTATCAAAACCCATGCACGGATCACTTACGCTAAAATTTGATTTTTAATGGAGTTCAATAGCTGTGTTATTTAGGTAGCTGACTTTACTTTTATTGTTATTGATTGATTTTTGCACTTTCAATAATCTACCACACTTTTAAAGGAAATGGGATTATAGTCTTGTATTATGAGTAAATATATAATATGGTTTTCTTTCATCTATACAATTTGGTTTTCAAAAGGTGAACTTATTTAGCAAGTTGAGAATTGTATTTATGTATTATTGGTTGCAATTTGTTACTGTATCATCTGTTAGAAACCCAGTGCAATGTGTTTTTGTCACGTTGAGATGGATGGTGGATGAGAGTAGCTGTGTTTTTCTTTGCAATAATAATGCATATAGATACTTGGTGTTCCTTATTAACCAAAAAAGGTTCTTTTAGGATGTGTTATGGAGCCAACTTTCAGACCATGATTGGCTACGAGCTCTGCGAATGATTTCCTATGGATTCCTTTTCTATGGCCCTGGTTCTTATGCCTGGTATCAGTGTCTTGATCACTTTCTCCCCAAACCAACGGTGCAGAACTTAATGCTAAAGGTATTATTCTTCATTTATAACTATTTATTTTAGAAGCAAGGAGCAGTTCAGGATTGTGATACCTTATAATTTCTCTATTTCTTCCCTTTTGATAGGTTTTACTAAATCAGATTGTGTTAGGTCCATGCGTTATTGCTGTTGTTTTTGCATGGAATAATTTATGGCAAAAGAAGCTCTCTGAGCTTCCAGAAAAATACAGAAGGGATGCTTTTCCAACTTTACTTTATGGTACAAACTTCATTGTATAATTAATATTTGTCATAATAACTTGTTGATGGTTATTTCATATGGGTTGATGCCTACCTTTTTGTCTGATTTGTCTGTACAGGATTTAGATTCTGGATTCCAGTCAGCGTGTTAAATTTCTGGTGCGCGTTTTCTATCCTCAATTAAATTTTCTATTCATGTTTATGCATTTTCCCTCTTTTATCAAGTTGAGAGTGTGTCTTTGGAAAGCCTAATAACAATTTGAACACAACATTTTCTTTCCAAGTTTCCATAAAAGAAATGCTCTTTTATAAACAAGAGAAAGACATTTCCATCCTTTTAGAACCAAAAAATTTTAAACCTGAGCATTGGACAAATTCATTCCTAAACTCCTTTGTAGAACAAGTGATTTTTACCTATCAAATACCCCTGGCAGTGCCGGGAAATGATGAAAGCTTGATACCTTTACACCATAATATTGCTACTTAATCTCATTCAATATTCAGATATGTCCGGTTATTCCAAATGCCTTTATAGGAACGGCTGTTAAGGGAATTTAAGGATTAAATGAGTTCTTGTTGAATTTATGCAACAATGACATGATTAATTAAATTGGCAATGCCATGACCACGTATGCAAAATGGTCGTAAATCATGCATGTGAAGTTTCTCCTCTAATGCACTTGCTTCAATGAAACCAATGTTGAAAAAACTAGACTGGTGAAAGTCGAATGATCACCGAACTGGTGAAAATCAATAGTGAAGAACTAATTTGAACATATTGTTTTATTTTTTAATTCAACCAAAAACAGTTTTATTAAATAAAGGCTCAATGCCAAGTTACAAAGGCCTACATATGTTCTATGTATAGATTGTTATCATTTAGCTGTGTTTTTTTTCGGCTGCAAGACAATAAGATGTACAATATGGTTATCTTATGCTAGTTTAAATTTATTGTGAGCGGATTGAAAAAGAATTGCCTCACCTGCGAGAACATGGAATTACTTTATGGTTTTCAGTAGATGATCTCCTCATTCCTGTCTCACAAAACTGATATTTGCTGATGTTTCTGGGGCTTCCACACCCTGCAATGCTTCTTCTGTTTAGCTTTTTCCCGATTTTGGGCATTGGCCACTTTTATGTACCAAAAAGATTTCTTTTACTTACAATTTCTTATACTTTTATGCTCTTTTATTACTTATTATATTAGAAATATTAAAAATATATATTTAATCATCAAATGGTACAACCATGGTTTAATCAGAGTTAGAACAATGAATAATAAACTAATTGCTTCGCCAGTTCAACGGTCTTGTAAGTTGAAGTGATAGAATCTTACCCAATTAGGCAATATTCAATTGACAATTTAGCTGCATATGTCTATCTATAAGTATGCCTCTTATCTTGCTCGTTGATGCTTGGGTTTAAAAGCTCCTATACATTGTGATGTTGTTCTACGGGGATAACTGTGATGGATTCTTCTAATTTGGAGCATACATTCGATAGCTTTCAAATATCTTAATTACAATCTAGTTAATTATTATTTGAATTGTTAAGATCACAAGTCTTACATTCCTTGGCTATTTTCATGGTGTATGTATAGGGTGGTGCCTCTTCAAGCTCGAGTGGCTTTCATGTCAATGGGCTCAATATTTTGGAATTTCTTCTTGTCATCAACAATGAGCAAGTAAAATGCATGGTTTACCAGCACTTTGCATTGTTTGCAATTTTCACCACGAGGTATGTTATGAATGCACGCCTGATTATTTTTCACCTTTTATAATTTGAGTGGTTACAACTTATAACATCAAGTCTCGTCTTTATAGATTAATCAGAGTATAATGGTTTTGGATGAGGAAAGTTGGGAGGATGAGTTATGACTTGGATGATACCATTTGTGTTCCATGCAGAAGATTTTGCACCGCTGAAAAACTTATGATTTCAAAGAACACTACATTTTTCCTTCATTGCTGAGAATTGTAAAATTGAATTCGCTTTCATATGAAAAGTAACAGTGTGTAGGTGTTAGCTTTCAAGAAGGAATAATATTTGGGATAATTTTTGTACGTTCTTATGGATAATTGTTGAATCTGATTATCAGAAGACCGTAATAATGAGCACAGCCAGTTTTAGGCGTTCTGTTGTTTGAACAAAGTTATGCAAAAAATATTTTTAAATATTATTACATATATTAATTTTCAATTGTTCAAATAACAAAATTGGTAAGTGCCACCCTTGGGAGTGCTTTTGTTTATTAGAATGCTCCGTGGAATCTTTGTGTGTGTCCCATTTATAGGAGGGGAGCTACGCCTCATTTTCATTTTTAAGATCTGTAACCGTATGAGCTTTTGTTTTGCTGGATAATAGTTGTTTCATTTATTGAACTTTTTGTTGTACAAACGAAATAAAGACCACGCAAGTCGTTGATTGGGATCATAAAAATGATCCCATGTGGGCAATACGTGAACAAAAGTGTTAATTTTTTTGTTTTGGTGATATAACATAAAGATAAATCAGAGGAGTAATCAGTTTGAAAAAATATGGAAACAAGTGGAGGATGTTGAATTTTTAGAAGTGCAATATTTGCACGTGGTGTCGTGGTTGTTACATTATTTAATTGAACTGTTTTGGTTTATTGTTTTGTTGATCTTATGAAATTTTGAGAATTTTCACAAGTCTTGATTTGTGAAACATTTAATCATAATGAATTTTGGAAACATTTAATCACTCTAATGACTTGATTTGGCAATTCTATCGGAAACTAGATAGCAAACACAGATTGAAAAAGATAGTGGATAGAATAGAGCCAGGGCATGGCTTATCTTCTGATGAGATACAAATTTGTCTTATTTGTTGAAAATAATACCTACAAAATTATGCCACCACAAATTGAACAAAAGTGAAAGATTATCCGGGATACATGAACCAATCAACTTTATGTTAAAATACAATAATCGGGTAACTCCATAGACTTTGCAGACTGAAACAAAAATCAGAGTTTGACTTCCAAAACATAATCTCGTGCCTGATTGAGATGCTAAAACCTTTACGAGGAAATTGAGCACAATTCTGAGGGTAAAAGGTGGCAAACAGTCTTCTAATATTGAAGGCAGACACAATTTCTGGAAACAAAAGTGACAAGCATAATTCTGCAAGCCAAAGTTGCTTTTAGGGGTGTTCACAGACCTATACAAGCAAAATATTGAATCAGAACTTGAAAGAGGGGAGACGTGGGGTATTGGCAGAAACCTACAATTTAAGAATTCAAGTATTCAAAAGTCAAATTACATTATATTTGAACTACAAAATGAAAAAAAAAAAAAAAAAAAAAAAAAAAACAGTCCAACTTTGGTAATCACCACGTACATTTTGAGCATAATCTTTATTGCATTCCGTAGTTATCAAACATCATGACCCCTCTCCTTCAGAAAGTAAAAACAAAAATAGTAACAATGAAACATAACTAACATGACAGCCTAATACCAAAACAAAAAAAAGATAACAGTCCAGAGATAAACAAGTTTCCACGTCAATAAAAAGTCTTCCATTCAACAGAAGTTCGCATAAAAATGTCAGTATCTGAATCTAGCCAGCCAAGAGCAGATACACATCTCATCAGACCCAAGTCATTGACAAGGGTAAAAGTGAGTCAAGGGAAGGATGTTTAATGTACATTTGAATTAGTCTTAGATTCCTAGTAATGAAGCATCATTATATTGGAATTACATAAATGTCACTACATAGAATCCTACATTCACTGAATATCCCAAGGTGATTCAATAGGAAAATTCTTAATTAACATGGAAATTGGAAAAACACGATGAAACTTTAACAGTACTTTGCAGTCCGCATTTTCAACTTATTTTCCTTTAGGCACTACAGTAAAAAATAACATGCATCCTTTCATGCATCTGAAATAGAAAGAAAATGAAGTACATCTGGTCTAGGTTTTACAATTCCTTTTTGAGACTCGACCCTACAGTGGCTAACTCAAAAGTCCTGATTTTTTTTTCAGCTGAAATTTTCATGCATTGATGATTTTAATGCAAAAGTTTGCTTGAATCTTCTTAAACCTTACAAAATCTGATATACTATAACTATACCCCTTAATTACCGATTGAACCTATATGATGCAACATAACATAAACAACAACAACAACCAAACCTTATCTCACTATTGAAATACAGCAATATGGTTATTATAACAGAATATCAGTAGCACAATCATATAAGACAGATAGGTATGAATTTTAAAAAATCCATCATAACAGAGTGGAGGAGTATTTTATGTCAATCTTTTCTGTCAATAATTTCTCAGAAAGATATGTTTATATGTAAAGTAAGGACCCACAAGAAAACAAAGCCATTTTTTTTCCAATTGCCTGACAAGTGATAATTGTTTTCAAAGTGCATAAACATTGGACAATACGATTCGCAAATAGACAAAAAACAAGTGTTCTTCATAATGAAATATCACAAATCCAGAAGAGCACAAATGTGCTCTAAATAATGTTAAATAATTAGTAATAGACGCCGAGAAAATTAATCCTAGTAGCAACAAAATCTTTTTTAAAGCTGAACATATCAAAGAAAGTCCCAGCAATCCCATTTATGCTTCCTGATCTTCAAGTAGTCTGCTTTTGGCCTACAAACAAAAGGAGTGTGTATTTGCTTCACTAAAGATTTAGTGGCTAGGTGGAGGCAAACAGATGAAGCAGGGAATAAACTAATCCATCATTCTTAGATACAGGATTAGTAGTTATAGAAACACATGGTCAAAGCGTCAGATAGACAAAATGCCTTTTGACTATGGTGATATTAGATCAGGCATATAAATTGAATGCACCATCATCATCATCATATATTAAATCTCACAAGACTCAAGAATCGAAAGAAAACATACCCGAAAATTAATTGTAGAAAGAACATCAAGGTTTTCTAGAGTTGCTAGCTACCTAATTCAAAAGTAAAATCCAATCGTCAGGAAATCAAAATGAACATACACTAGTTAACCTAAAGAGAGGGATCACAGGATCACTATACATACACGATTTCTTTTCCTAGTTCTAATTTTAATATTTTCTATGACAAAAAAAACTGCAGAATATCTTCTGAATCCCTTTTCAACAAATAATCTTACTAACATTGAATACCCCAAATAACTGGAAAAGCAATAATATTTAGCTCCTCTTTACGTGCATTTTACCATTAGCACAATGAAAAATCAACCACTGTGATTATAATAAAATATACGCGTATATCCAACAAATTATTATGTTGTTAAAATCTACACTCTACAGCCTGATTTTCCAATCTCTTATAAAGCGCACCTCTCATTGTAGAGGAATCAAATACAAAAGAATAACCTGTGGCGAGTCATTTCTGATTTGTGTAGAGCCAACAATGCCACTAACTAAATCAAATCCATACAACATTTCACATAAACGCATTTAATATCCTAAAAGTGTAGTATGATTGACGATACCTTCAGGAAGCCAGGCGCAGGTGCGGGTTGAAATCGCGAGCATAGAATTCATGAGTGCAGAAGCAGTGGCCGTGTGGTACGGCATCATCGATTCCACACAGGAACTCAATTCAACAGGGAACCTTATCACACGAACAGCACACAGCACAAGGCAAGCAATTATTGCAAATTAATTAACAGTGAATTTAGACGATGAAGTAGAAAAACAAGAGCAAGAAGTTTCTGTGCAATGCACGAATACGAGTACTGATTATTATTACCTGAGAGTGGATTGGGACTGTGAGAGAGATCTATTGGAGGCGATGCGAAATGGAGAACGCGCCGATTTGGCTTCTGAGGCAACACGAAATGCAGACCGGCCGGCGGAGAATGATCGGAATATTGATCTGGCGGCGACGGAGGCCATTTTGCGTGATCGGAATTGTTTCAGATTGGCGTAGGGTTCTACAAAATCCAAAGCCCTAACCCGGATTTTTATTTTTTTTGGTAGAACCCTCTTGTGTTGCGTGACTGAAACTGCGACTCTTTCACCGTTCTCCGGTTTGGGTCATAGCCCAATGGTTGCTTGGGCTATAAGTTTAATCAACGAAGATCCAAGTTCATTAGTTTTCGGCTTAAACATGACTCATGTTAGAGGTCCTCTAATAGAGGGTAGTTTCGTTTTGCACCACTCATCCACTTGGAAATTTAATTTTTAGAAGTAATTAATATATTTTAAAAATTAGTTTAAAAATACAAAAAAAAAAAAAAAGAGTTATAGAAGGAGTTGCAAAAAGAAATTACCACGTTAGAGCCTATAGACTACGAGTTCAAAGAAGTGAAATAATATTGAAATTATAAACCTTGTATTGTGTGAGCATATAATAGCATATCATTGTTATTCGTGGTTTTGTTGAAGAGGAAGAACTAATCCAATAACTTCCTTTCGCTTGACTTGCTATTCGCTGCTAGTTTCTATTTGTTGACAAGCCTTTATATGATAGAAGAAGTATTCAGTGGATCACTGCCAATTCGTGAAAGATTGATTCCATCAATACCTAAAGATTGAAACTATCTTATAGTTAATTAAACTGTGTTTAAACTGCAAGGGGAAGATATGAGATAGGATCTCGTACATAAGTGAGTGTCTCTTCTTGAACTGGGACCCCATCTCTATAAATTTTCATTAAAAAAATTGAAAAGTTTATTTTATTTTATTTTTTGGTTTCGTTCCATTTGTTACCAAGGCTATAAAATAAACAGTTCATGAATGCTTTTGCAAGTGTGGAGTGTAGTGAAAATCCCTCTTGCCACCAACCCTCCAACCAATTATGATCAATGATAAAATTATGCCACTAGTGAAATAGTCACTCGTCCGTTTTAAAGGTAAATCTAAATGTGACAGAAACCAAGGTTGCTTTCATGCATTATCATATACTATGAAAAACATTCCAAAGAGGATGACATTTGCAAATATAGAATTGCCCCAGTACACATTATTCTGGTCTTATGTAAAACAGATTAGACAATTATCCATTGAACATAAATTATAGGTCCTTTTCTCTTGTCAAAGGAAAAATATTTCATAATTATATTGTGAAACGCAATAATATTCATTTATAATAATTATTCACACTTAGATTATAGTTATCCTTTCTCCTTTTAAGTGTCAATTGCTACAATTAGGTATAACTGCAGAAATATAATTCTTTAGTTAAATATAATGCTTCGCGTGTCAATTTCATGGGGATAATCGACCATACTAAGATTATAAAATAAAAATATTTCAGCACCGCAAGAATTATCTTTCGAATTAATCGATATCATGGTTATACATGACCAAAGCACTCGTGTAAGAATATGCTCAATCAATAGAAATTAAAAACTGTCGAGCTAAAATATTCTCTGAACATTTTTATATCCAAACGAAGGAATGATTTTAAATAATTACTTCTACATTTTTGACACAAATGTTCAAGCGTAAGATTTTAACTAAATACTGTTCAGATACTCGAACAAAAAAAAACAGGCATTCCCACGGTCCTCACTCTTCCCTATAATCAGGATTCTCCTTCAAAATTACAAAACCTTCAAGAATTGGCGATAGAGGAATATATCTGCATAAAAAATAAATAGTTAGTATATTAGAAAGACAATATATGCCTGTTTGTAAAATTTGAAGGCACTGGTATATTTACTTTTCCGTTGCCAACTCTGCCCTGTCCCCAGCAGCCAGGAGAACAGGGGTGGAGTGTGTCTGAAAGCCTGTGATTGTCTTTGGACGACCTGCCTGTCCAACAACATCTACTGCTTGGCCAACCCGAACAGGCACTGATAGAGGCTTCAAGTTCTCATCCACAGTCAACAACATCCTTGGCTGTAGCAATAAAAAGTAACTGAGAATGGTTTAAAATGGAGGAGGGGGAGGAGTCAATCTAGTGGAAGAGGAAATGAGACTCAAACAAACCTGCATTGCCAAAACGAGGAAGTAGAGAACATAGTGATATTTTCCCAATACGATAGCTTTCATATCGAGGCATGCATGTAACATTGTAATTAATCCAGCAAGCGCTGTCCTGTAAAAATGAAACGAAATGTCAATTAGAAAAAATTACAGCAAAGCTTTACGAATTATTCTTAAGTCACCAAGTTGGAAGGCTGATAAAAGTTACTTACGGCGATAGTAGGAAGCGATCAGAATGATATGGATTAAGCGTTAACAAGCCCTTTCCCAAATGTACAAGACCTTGGGCAATCCGCACCTGTACATAAAGTAAAAGAATGGGTAACAATGAAACAAAGAAAATTAGAAAATAAGGACAACTTAGAGAAAGCTTACGCAAAATAGAAGGCTGGTGTCCTTGTAGTAATAGCTAGATAGATTGCGAAGCATTCCAGCAATTCGAGCATTGTTGGTTCCAGCACCTATTAGACCCAAGGAGATAACTGCCGCCTGAAACATGTAAATTGTTTTAGCTATAAATAAGCAAAAGATACAGATCAAAATGTCTAAACTGAAGAGGCTCTAACACCTTACCATAGCTACTTCTGAATCGGTATCATGGCTAAGTCTGCTTAAAGTATCCATAACATTGACCTGGATGGTCCAGTAAAAAGTTAGCAGAAGTGATCAAAGGTGGCACCTTGCAGCCACAATAAGAGTTTTAACATGGTTCTTTTCAGAGTAAGGTAATAATGCGCTTCACACACTTAAATAATAACACTGCCAGTGAGACACTAAAAGGACCCATTTTACCTTTGGATTTGATATACACAATAGACCAAGTGCCAAAGGAACTGCTCGGCGAATATTCTGCTCTCCATACTGAAGAAGATGTTCTAATGATCTAATTGCCATTTCAAGTCCTAATTCTTCAGCCATTGCTACCATAGCAATTCCAAGCACAGCAGGACCTTGGTGTGTTTCTCCTTTATCAAGATGTTGTGAACAATGACCCAAGAGATTTTGAACCTGCATGAAAGAAGCACAACAATTATATATATAAAAAAGTGTCGTGATTTCTTCTTTAGAAAACATCATAACTACTTCATCATTAGATCTTCGTACCTTGAGAACGTTCCCAGTTCCTGCATAGGCACATGATAGTAGTGTCATGTCACAATACTTTCTAATTTTTTCATTAAAAGTCTTTGAAACTTCAGCAGTTGCCTCAACACTATCCTGTAGTCACCAAGCACAATGCAAAGAGTGAATATAACACCATAACAACTTTGACCACACCTAATAGCAAAACCCTCAACCATCAATTAATATTCAGATATTGAAGAAATAAGATTAATGATGTGAAAAGGAATTAATCTATAATTCTAAAATCAAAGACAATTGACACAGCCAAACGTCTAAATACCTGCTTCCCAAGATATAGAAGACCAAGGCCAAGAGGTAAAAGTCGCGTAAGGGGCTCTCCCAACTCTGACTCACTCCGGTCCATTAGTGCAAATATAATTGCTTGAGCAACTTCCTCATTGCAAGAACCCACATATATCAAGCCCAAAGAAATTGCGGTGAAAGCAATCACATCAAGTGAAGCTTTAGCATCATTCAATATAGGCGCCAATTTATAACGTAACTGGAAGAAGCAAGAATCAAATTTAAAAAAATAAAATAAAAATTTACATTTGCAAATAGAAAAGCAATGTTTATCTCAACAAATAATATTACTAGAAAAAATTTTCAAAAATTAAAAAGAGCAATGGTTCACCTGCTCGTTTTGGGAACCAGCATATGCAATTCCCAACCCCATAATTGCACCGATCCGAATTGAAGTGTCTTCTTTGTCTGTATAGTCGCCTAGAAGTGCCATTGCCTAAAAAGGAATCAAATAAGATCTAACATAGAAACTAAAGAGATATATGCCATACACTCATTGACCCAGCAAAGGATAGAAGTAACTCACAGGATCACAGTCATTCTTGATACCGCAATTTACAATTCCAACTCCCAATAATGCACCAGCAATGACATGGTTATCATTACTATGGAAGTATTTGTCAAGTTGAGCTAATCCGGAGTCAACATCCCAGAGTAAAATCATCCCCTGTTACAATACATAAGCATTGCAAATGAAATTTATATGGTCCACACAACATATAAGAGAAAATTATGATTCAGTATGAAAATGAATACCAGACTAGCTGCAGCACTGGTCTTCCCATGTTCCTTATTTTTGAAAAGCCAATTTCCAGAAGAACCACTACTGGAAGAATCTGATGGAACAGTCATTAACTTATCCTGTGCAACAAAAATGGGAAGGGACAAAGTAGAACAACAGGAGATATCATTACTCCAAAATCACAACAAATACAAATAAAGAATCTTGAAATATGAAATGTATTGTACCTGACCAAAGCCAGCATTTACAAATGCATTAACAAAAGTAGCAGCAAGGTTCTGTCTAGCTGAATCAACACTTGCACCAGCACTAGCCCGGCCATCAAGCAAGTGTGCCTAGGAAAAACCAAGCAAAGTGAATCATAAGGTTGAAAGCAAATCAACAAATGGCACACTAGAGACAAAAACTAGCATACCTAGAAACATTGTTTTTCTGAAACATGGAATATGAGCACAATGGCGATAAAATTTCAGCCAATACAAACATCTTGCAACAGGTTGCACAAGTTTATCTTATTGGCAATACAACTGTTGTCAATATAAAGCAACACAGTACAGGCATCTTTTCTGAAAGACAAGAAGCATCAGAAGATGCAGCTGCTGCTTTAGCAAGGAAGAGCACCTCAAACAAAAAATTAGAGCCTAAACCCTAAGTAACCAAACTGCAAATTGCAACCAAAGAAGATTGACACAAACAAACATCGACACCTGATTTTTTAAAATTCAAATAACATTCTATGTGACATCAGTGTTGACCAACTTAACATAAATTCTTCCGATTACTAATCTAGGCTCTGTATAGTAAGGCAACAAACTATATCAAGGGAATCCATCATATCAGAATCAATT